AAGGGGTTTAGGTGAAGAAAAGATAGTAGAAAGGGAATGTATAGAAATATTAAAAAATATGAAATTAAATAAATCACCAGGAAATGATGGCTTAAGTGTAGAGTTTTATCTTAAATTTTGGCCGGTAATTGGAGATCTAATCCTTGCATCTTTTAATGAAGCCTTTAATCATGGAGAACTATCGGCCTCTCAGAGACAAGCAGTTATCACCTTGATACAAAAAAAAGATAAAGATTCAGACTTTATTAAGAATTACAGACCGATTTCTCTTTTAAATGTGGATTATAAAATTTTAACAAAGATACTTTCAAAGAGATTGCAAGAAATTTTACCTGATATTGTATCTTCTGATCAACTTGGCTATGTTAAGAATAGAAACATTGGAGAAGCCATAAGAATAATAGATGACATGATTTTTCATACTTCTTTTTATAAGGAAAATGCTTTTTTGATGGCCTTAGATTTTGAAAAGGCATTCGACTCTGTTTCTCATTGTTTTCTATACAAAGTCTTAAATTCATTTGGGTTTGGACCATTGTTTTGTAAATGGGTGAATATACTTTATACTAATACTGAAAGTTGTGTTATGAATGGAAACGCATCAACAGGTTATTTTAAAGTTGAAAGAGGAATTAGACAAGGAGACCCATTATCTCCATACCTGTTCATTTTCTGCATTGAAATTTTAGCTCATATGATTAGAAATAATCAATTGGTAAAAGGAATTTGTTTTGGAAATACAGAAATAAAGCAAGTATTATATGCTGATGATATAACACTCTTCATCAAAGATATGAGTTCAGTTAAGGAAATAGAACACGTTTTAGAAGGTTTTTATAAAATATCAGGATTAAAGTTAAACAAGGATAAGACATATATTCTGCCCCTGGGCCCACAGGTGTCTAATAATACATTTCCGTTTGGGAAACTTGTAGATGCTGTTAAAATATTAGGTGTTTATTTTTCAGGTCATGTAGATATCAAGGAAAAAATGAATTATAAGGAAATATTGGGCAAAATTAAAAAACTACTGACGTGGTGGAAACAGCATGACCTAACTTTAATGGGTAAAATTCAATTGATGAAAGTATATGGATACTCTAAATTGACATATGTAACATCACTAATGCCAGTTCCAGAGTGGGTATACAAAGAAATGGAAGTAATATGTTTTGATTTTTTGTGGAGAGGTAAAGATAAAATTAAAAGAAGTACAATGATGTTAGACTATCAGCAGGGTGGGCTCAAAATGATGAATTTTAGGTTGTTTGTAAAAGCACAAAGAATAATGTGGATAAAAAGGCTTGTAACAGGAACTCATGATATCAAATGGAAACAATACTTTAAATATTTAATGAGACCGATAGGAGGTAATTTAATATTTTATTGCAATTATTGGAGAGATACAGTGAAACTTATGTTACCTTCCTTTTATCAGAATCTTCTGAAAGCATGGATAGATATGAAAGAATATGTTAAAACAGAAGAGAGATACAAAGGGAATGAAATATTGTATAATAATAATTTTATTCAACTAGAAGGTCAAACCTTATTTGAGGAAACTTTGTTTTTAAAAAATATATATCGAATTCATCACATTTGTGAAGAAAATGGAGAATTGAAACCTGAAGCTCATTTTATAATGTTAGGTTTGAGCAGAGTGGAAATTGATAAAGTAAAACAAATTTATAACGTAGCCCCTTATGAATGGAAACAGAATGTTCAACCTTTAAGAAAGGCAATTCACACTGGCTTTAGTTTAGAATTTATTTTTTCAAAGAAAGTGTTTACATTTGAAGATTTAACTGCAAAAATGGTATATAAGAGTCAAATTAAAAAGAATGTAGAAACAAACTCGGCAGGCGGCAATTTAATGACACTTTACAATATTCCAAGAAAAGAAGTAGAAAAGATATATGTTCAACCAAGGATGTGTACCTTAAGTAGTAAACTGCGAGAATTTCAGTTCAAATTATTGCATAATATTTTATATACAAATCATCATTTACATAGATTCAGGTTCCATGAAAATGGTTTGTGCTCATTTTGCAAAAATTTTGAAGAAACTTATCAACATGTATTCTTTGAATGTAATACAATAAAGGAAGTCTGGGGGAAATGTGGAGATAGACTTAATTTACCAATTTTGAAGAAATATCCTGGAAAGAAATTCATATAGGAATAGATGACACTACTTTTAAAACAGAGCAATTATTGAACCACATTTTAATTTTGATTAAATATATGATTTTCCACAGTAGAGAGAAGGAAAACCCTCCAAAAGCAAAAGAAATAGAATATAGATTGTTGGAAAATAGAAATGAAGAGAAAAAACTTTCAATGGAAAGAGACACACTTTCAATTCATTTAAGGAAATGGGAAGCTTTGGAAAGTTTAGAATAAATGTTTTCAGTTTTTTTTCTTCTCTCAATATACAACTTCCTGACCCTCCTCTCTTCTCTTCTTTTTTTTTTTTTTTTTGCTCGTAGTGTAGATACCAATCATTATAGCTAACGAGATATAACTAACTCTCTTGGAGAGGAAGGGAAGGGAAAGTATAGTTTAGCACTGCACAGTTAACCCCTGTTATTAATAAAATACTCTGCATAGTACACGATACCAACTGAAGAGGAAAAGAAACAGCGCCATCTAATCATCAGTGATGAACATCTTTAACAAAACAGCACAGCCAGGCAGAAACATTTTTTTTTGATTGGTCAGCCTTAAAACCCAAGAACAACAACAAAAACCGCGATTTTGCCGATCCTTCAAAGAGTGACAAAATCTCATTCCAATTCCGCAATGAAAAAAATATCCTGAAATATTCTTCTATAGCTATAAACAAACCAATGTTTAAAGTCAGTCATCATTATCATCATCATCATCATTATCATTATTATAATTTAAATTGCAGGGGGATTTTGATTAAGCATCAGGTATTCGTAAAAAAGCTTATTAACAAAATTCCAAACTTTAGTTCTTTGAAGAAGAAAATTATTCAATATTATGAAGACGAGATATATATTTATTCTATATTTAGAATGTATAACATTTTTTTTTACTAAATGGCAGTCACTTTAACATTTGTATTATCAACAAGGAGAGAAACGTGAAAGTATTTTGTTTTATTTGAATTAAAGAAAGAATTCATGTCGTAGATTTGTAAAATGTTTTGTTGGACTCAATAAAAATAGCATATGGAGGGCTAAAACGTTTAAATTTTGTATTTATTATTATCAATATTATAATTATTATTATTATTATTATTATTATTACTATTATTATTCATATCATTATCATCACCATCATCATTATCATTATTATCATTATTATTGTTACTACTACTGTTATTATTTGTATTATTATTACTATTATTATTCATATCATTATCATCACCATCATCATTATCATTATTATCATTATTATAATTACTATTGCTGTTATTATTTGTATTATTATTATCATCATCAGTATCATCATCATAGACGTTATCACTTATTTATATCACTAACTCGCTTGATGATTATTATGTCATAACGCAGGTGACAAAAGACGAGTACGAATGCAATTAACGAAGTATTTTTTTCTCTTTTATTATCATAATTATTAGACAATAAACATACATAATATTTCAATTTTCATTCTGCAGGGTCTATGACAGCTACCGTGAAAAGATGACACAAAGGGAGCATTGTCATTTTACAATTTCAAAGCAATATTGTACATGATTAAAGTACTCCCTGATAAGTAAGTTAATGGATTGATATGACTTACATGTGTATTTACAAAAGCCAAACATAAAAATGATATCATGAGGTTCATAGGTTATAAACATGCTCGTGTTATTGTATGATTCTTTATGAAGAACAGGGACAATTCCTATATCCTCGAAAGCGGACTAACTTCAGTCCATGGTTTAATCTACCGATTAAGTATGGAATGCCAAGCGTTAATATGAATATATATTTGAATAATTTGAAATGTCCCTAAATTACCATGATAACATAATGATATCATAATTACATTGTTGTTTATTTATTATGTTATTACATTTTATTTCAACTTAGTGACAGATTGAATTATTCAAAAACATGTTCATATGGACACCATGGACTAAAGTTAGTCCGCTTTCGAGAATATCACCCATATACATCGAGTGACATCTACGGATCTTTTATACAAAAGCAGCAGTGAATCAAACTGAGAAAGGTCAGATGCATTCTTTCCTTTTCTTTTTATTGTTTTGAGTCATATTAAATATATTCAATATATTAATCATGTAGTTAATAATCCTTGGCTCCCTAAAACCTGTTTAACATCGGTATAGATCTGGGGAGTGGTCCAAAAAAACAAAGATCGACTTAAAGTTGGAATTGACTTTGGCAGGCCGTTCATGTCCCTATTTACTCTCACTATGGTATTTAGATAATATCTTTTCTTTTCTTTAATAATGATCTATCATATCAACAACAAAAAGTAAATTCTGTAGATTTGTGACCACGATTTGTACGTCCCTCGAGAGACCGACCAATGCCAGTAAATGGTGAGAGCAAACAGTGGAATGAACGGCGTGTCATAGTTAAGTCCAACTTAAAGTTGATCTTAGTCTTTGTGAAACACTCCCCTGATCTTGCAATGGATACACGCTGTTCAATAATTTTCAAGCCTTTCGTATAATTGTATCTATCTCATGATATGATACAAGGTAACAGAAGGAGATTATACATGTGGCTTATACTTATAGGGAGTTACAAGAATGTTAAGATACTCGATAAATGCAGAAGTTAGAGTGGAAATCCACTCTTTTAGGAGTCTTAGGAGAGTGGAATCAACTCCAAGGTAGTGGTTTCAATCACTCTTTAGAGATATGAATTACCCCCCCCCCCTCCAAAAAAAAAAAATCCCTTTATAGGACTCCTAAAAAATAGCGCTACCACTCCTTTACATGCAGAGATTGAAGGACAATACACATTAACAAAATGGCACTATGACAACATTGCCAATATAATTCGAATGGATGATTTGATATATATACATAGCATTCAGTTTAATAAAAAGTGGCATATTCAAATTCAATAAGTTAATCTAAAAAGTATGTTTCATGTACACAGCATTACGTAGGAAAACACATGAATGCAAGAGTCGGAAATTACGCCCTACGGTTTACGTAAACGTTGAAGTTCGGGCGTATTATACATAAATGTCATACAGATTATATACAAGCTATCTCATAAGTCAAAAACAGATCATGAAACATTTGCTTTCTTTCAGTATCACCAGGGATGTCATCTCCCTGGTATCATCAATTATCTTGCTTTTGCTTTTTCGCATCCATCGTCTCAAAATTCTATTCCAATTATCTCGCCAAAAAATATGTATTACAGTCGCCACCTGGCTGCTATCGTTAATGAGGCCTGAGATAGTTCCAATGCCATTTATGCACAAAGTTTAGCCACCTTAATTGCAATATTGTGTCAGCGAGTTGGCTAAACTCCTTGCACAATTGTCTCTGGGACTGCTCTTTACCCGACGTTTCAAATTTAGACCTATGCCTTTTAAAAATTAGCCTCATACTGGTTTAACATTTGCATCTCATCCGACGCTTGAACATATATATATTTTTTTGTTTCACACTAAACCATGTACCAAATTTACCTGGACACCAATTAATGTTCTTCTTCTTCTTCAGGATAATCTGCCTCCTTCACTGCTGAAGATTCTTGCAGATGTGTAAGTGCATGTGTGTGGAGACATAGGGATGTCCAGGTGTGCAGACGAAAAGTGTATATTTACATAGTGTCAGTAAAAATGTTGCCGGAATTTTTTAAAGTCACTCATTCGTCTTTCAAAACTTTTAAGTTATAACTTTCCCAAAGAAGCCGTTGGTTTCAAAGGCCTATATGATACTATCAAAGTTTTTTATTATTATATCCGTCCTTCACTAACCAATCTGGTATCAATACTCTTGATCTAAATCATTATATAAATGTTATCATGGTTATCATCTAAAGTGTTCCTGAACGTAAAATTTGGAGTGACTTCAAGTTTTTTGTGACATATCACAATAATTTATTAATAATGCTTTTGAGGTATCTTGGTGGCACACGCCCCCTAAAACTGCAGTAACACCGATATCCTGACAAACCGCTAAACCGACTCCATGCAAACCGGCTGATACTCTACAAAATCGTGGCCGTTCGGGCGTATTGTAATCTTTCGTTCGGTGTGTTGTCTGTATTATCGGTGTCCGGTGTCGAAGGTGTTACCTTGGTCACAATCATCGCCAAACCCACCCAACAACCGACTCCAAACCGTTTTTTTTTATAGCCATTTCAGTGGAGGTAACGTATCATCTATCTTTTTTCTTTTTTATTTCTTCTTCTCTTTTTTCTTGTCGATCTGGAGTCGGGCTCGGTGTGACTGGTATATAACGTTGTTTACGCTGGTCTATGACTGATGGCGAATGCTGCTAATCTGCAACCGGGCGCAATTTCAGTTGTATCGTCTTCAACGAGTAATTGGCTCCTTTCCATGCTGTCCATACGACGCCCTCTCGTGACCGTTCCGTGTGGCCGCCCAGGTAGAGACCGTTTGGATTGGTCTCAAGACACTGGTTAAACCACCATCCCCCTTCGCCGGAGACCCTGGCGCAGTGGCTCGTATTGTTCGAGTCATGATCGCGGTCTTTCGTACTAAACTCTTGTCCATCGTGGTAGGACAATGCATCACCTGGACATGAAAAGAAAATAGTAAAACATTAAAGGGACTTGGTAACATTGTTAAGATGAGAGAAAGTGGTGCTAAGGTAATGACTTCAATGCTAGATGTACAATTAAATATAATCTGAAAATATGAGTGAAAACGGACCATTATTTATGATGATACAAACTGGGAAACGCTGATCTGACCGATTCCTTAATTCTCCCAACTACATGTATATTATTACACTTTAATTACATTTTAGGTAAATGATCGTCACAGGGCAATGAATTGGCTTTATATAGCATTCCAGACATTTTGGTGTTGAAGGTTTTTTTTTTATAGGTTTTTGATATGTCTTTTTTTTTCATGGAAAAACGGTTGGGAAAATTCAAAAATGGTTGGGAGAATTTACTGTTAATGATTGTTAGAGGGTGTTGCACAGTGACGCCTTTAAAGAAATCCATAGATATCTTTGTCGTTTGAGGTTGATGCTAGAGGGTGAGTACATTATAAGGAATATAATAAGTAACATTTCATACAACAATTACGCAATTTTTTCATCAACCTTCAACTTTGTTACTGAGTCACTTTAAGGTCGATAAGGAGATGATTGGTATTACAAAATCGAAATATAGGAGGGAATAACGCTTTCTTCCCTCCTTTTTTCCTCCTTTGTCTCCAGGGTGAGGGAAGGTTATTTTAATGAGGCTTTCCAACAGGGTGATGTTTGGAGGGCGTAGTGCATTTCAAAAGACCCGTTGGTAATTAACTAAAGTCCACTTTGGGTGACTAATAATTACATCTGCTATGGGTAAACACCTGATTAGCGAATAAGGCCAAAATCCTCATGAGAACCCACGAATGTGTGTCTTGAAAAATGTATTTGTTTAATGTTAAATCATCTCAACAGCTCCACATTTTCCCCGTTCCCATATTTTCGATAAACTCACCTGCAATTCCATGGTATTCGCCAACGTGTAACCTATAATTCGACGCCGTATCGTCAACCCTAAACCACGTGTACCCAGCATGCACTGCGATGTTGTCGAAGTCGGACATATCGACCCGTAGTTCGTACTCGTCTTGGTAGGTGAGTCGGTGAAGCCGATCGAGACCGAGCCAGAACTCGCCTTGGGGCGAGCCGAAGCCCCGTCGATAGCTGGCCCAGCCGCGTCGGAACTGTTCGGAGCCATTTGAACGGCGCTGAAAGACCTGCGAATAAATGAAGGAGGAATGTCACGATTGGTTGATTGGTTCACTGAATGTCCACTCAAAATATTATGTTTTGTCATGACATACCCTGATAGCAGAGACTGGTAAATATCACGTCTAATTTACGTCTTGTACTACGTCTTTAAGACGACATAACACGACGTCAAAAAGACGTAAACTTTCACCCGCGTACGTCGTCATGAGGACGTCATATTTTGACGTGATTTTTACGTCTTATTAGTGAAAGAAAGACGCCTTTAAGACGTCAACTTGTACCATAGGAAGACGTCGTGTGGACGTCATATTTACGTCTTTTAGTCAAAGAAAGACGTCTTTAAGACGTCAACTTGTACCATAGAAATACGTCGTATGGACGTCATATTTACGTCTTTTAGTCAAAGAAAGACGTCTTTAAGACGTCACCTTGTACTACAGGAAGACATCATATAGACGTCATATTTTGTCGTGATTTTAACGTCTTATTAGTCAAAGAAAGACATCTTTAAGACTTCAACTTGTACCATAGGAAGAAGTCGTATGGACGTCATGTTTTCTTTTTAGGTCTTATTGGTCCAAGAAAGACGTCTTTAAGACGTCAATTTTTACCCAAGAAAGACGTCCTACAGATAGGTGGATGTAGGGGCACAAGAATCCCGTGCACCTTATGGAACCCAGAAACTAAACAGAAGAAAAACATGCCACCCTCCCCCGATATTGTAATAGTGTGCCGTTCATTTTAATTTGACCAAACTGGTAGGCTATCGTAATTTTCTTTTTTGCTTTACTTGCTTGTCAAATAGTGTCAAGAAATTGTGCTCCTTTTAAATAATAAAGGACTTTTTATGTGAATATGCACACACGAAATATGTTATAAGTGCGTTTATCATCGTTTCCATTATTATGCATGTGTCCACCTGGGATCTTATTTGTAAGTTACTAAATAAATTAACGTAGGCTAGGCATGTCCGAGTAGGCACACGACGTAACGTGTGATTCAGTGTTTGAATTACATTATTCTGAATAGCCCCATCTACCGTTCAAAATTCTCAAGGTAGTCAACGTGACAGATAAGCTGCTGCCTAGTGAAGATTTCTTTGTCATAATGTTGGAGGGCGACATAATTATATCAAAAAATCTTCTTTTTGTTGTTTTTTCATCTCCCTGGAGATCTCTGGGTTTTTTTCTTCAGCTGTAAGAATTTCATTACTCTCGTGTGTTATAACACTGAAAACATAATTAAAAGAAATGCATTATTAATACGATTCTCCTGAAAGACAGCCGTGAAAAAGGTAAGTATTTCATTCAGAACATATGTGATGATAACAGCACAAATATGTAACCATGATAATCAAAGAATGTAGAGCTAATTTGTTATATTTGAGAACCGTTAGTAGGCCTACTTTGATAATTTGTATTAATTGACCTTGGGTATCCTAACAATGATCTATTTTGCAAATATAGTGTATTCATTCATTAACAAATATATAAACTCAAATAAAATGAAACTGTATATGTAATGAAAGGAAATGAAACGAAACGAAACGAAACGGAAGGAGAGAAAAGGGACGGAAGGGGAAGGAAACGAAACGAAACGAAGGGAAAGGAAAAGAAATGAAAGGAAAGGAAAGGGAAAGAAAAAGAGAGGAAAGCAAAGGAGAGGAAAGGAAAGGAAATGAAAGGAAAGGCAGGGTAAGGAAAAGGAAGGAAATGAAAGCAATAAAAAGATCCTCTTTCGAATTATTAGTATATTCACGCACTCACCGTCCAACCACCGCCATCAGTCTCCATATCACAGTAGACTTGGAAAGGCCAGCCGTTATGATCAGGTTGAATCGTGTACGTTCCACTCGACGTCGAGCCTCTCTGTTGTACGTCTTTACAGTCTCTCGGCAAAACGCCTGGGCAGGAGACCAAACAAAAAAAACGGAAGGAAATATGAAAATGAATTTTCATAAAATACAGACATTTTTTTATGAACACATTCGGCATTCTTTATTTATTTATTCGAGAAGCTTATAGCATGGCAGTAATATGGGAACAAAGAGAATTGGCCGAGGGGGATAACAAGTTTGAAGCATAATATTCACGCTGGAGTCAGAGGCTTCAAACGGGCCCATTTTATAGAGGGGGCTCCCTCCCCATAACATCAGTGCGAGAGAAGAGGACATTACAGTCATAAAAGCCTAGGCGAAAATGGTTGCTATGTGGGGTCATCCTCGCACAAACATGCACCTCGCATCTGGACACATCCATATTTCATCCATTCTACCTCAACGCACTGCCTATTATTATAGTGACTGGAACCTTCACCAACAGGAATGACATATTTCGGTAGTTCATAGAGTTGATCTTTTTAACAAAGATAAAAGCACGTGCCAAAGATCAAAGCGAGGTGGTTTTTATTATCATCTCATCGGATGGTTTTGATTTATGAGAGCACGCTCCAGACATTGGGTTGGTGTTTATGAATAAGAACTGAGGAATGTCACCCTGCACATTCAAGCCAACATGATACAGAAAATCTGGATATCGTAGCAATGTTCTCTTGTTCGATTTTTTACAAACCAAAATGTATGTCACCGTTGCCAGAAATTATTTGGAGATGTAGACGAGTGGTTTGAACACTCGACTGGAGATGCATAGGCCATGGGTTCGATACCCGGCGTGGCACTTGCGTCCTTTAAGAGATACATTAATCTACATTGCTTCTCTGATGGTAAAATGGGTACCGAGTGAAATGCGAGATTCATAGTGGATAGTCATCACTGTACGCGCCTCTGAAAAGGCGCCTGGCCGGAATGCTCTACAAAGAATATGCCGCCGACACCTCTCCTCAATCACTCTGCCTTCCAACGTTTCTGGTCAAATAAAACTTCACGGTGACTTCTTATGTATTGCACATATTAATTATTGACTACAGATAAAGTGGTTCTGATCAAGTGTTATTAAAATGTGACACAAACTGAAGGAATTGGAGAAGGTCGATTGTGGTTGTGTAATACATAACAAACGGATGTATACTTGAAGGTTTTGGCATGATGAAAATGAAATTGAATTGACTCAATTTGACAATATTACATGCATGTGACACAGAAATAGGTATTATGGGAGTACACAAACATGTGACATGAAAATTCGATCCAAAAGTTATCACCTCTTTCTAGTCATCACGGTGATATATGTATGATAAGTATGAGGGTATTGCAGAGTTGTCCATTTCAGGGGACATTGCTACTATGAATAAAGACTGAGAAAGCTCTCAAAATTATTATTCTTTATTACCAGAAGTCAACTATCCCTTTAAACATTGGTTTAAGTGTCACTTTATTTCATGCATTCATCGTTTTCAATGTTTGTCATATAAATTATGTCGCCCTCCCATTTCGTGACATATAATCGTACACACACGTACACAGACTCATTAAATGAGTTGCCAATTTGCGTGTTGTGCCATATCACTAATCCGTTGTGTCATTTCATTGTCTAGCCAGAAATCTGTGACCTTGAACTCCTACTCATAGTGCATTTCCATTCATACCAGACGTCTAAACACATTCAACAACATGTTCGCAATGATAATAAAGTTAAAGGGAAATCCCACCTTTAATTATCGAAAACTACTCCAAAAGAAAGAAAAACATTCAAAAAAAGTGTACCGGTGAAAGTTTGAATGAAAACGGACAAAAATGAGAAAGATATGAATTTATTAAAGTTGCAATCACTTTGGGTATGGGCTCTTCAAATTGGATGAATCGGTAAAGGGGGTATTTCACTGAGCGGCGAATGCTCGTGAAAGAAGCGAATTTGGGGTTTTTGCCAGGGTTCAAAAAAGGTTGCAAGAGGTTTGTAAAAGGTTGCAAGAAAGTTTGCAAACAGTTTTTCTTGTCGCTCTTTTGCGAAATTTTTCCGCAAACAGTTGCAAGCGTTAGCAAAACAGTCGTAAGCCTTTTGTCGCTGAAGTTCTTTTTGATTCGCCAATGCTAGCGATCGACCCATTGCGTACCAGGAGTTAGCAAAAGGTCCCAAACATTCACAAATAGTGGCGAAGAACTGGCAAATAGTTGCTTATCTTTGCATAACCTGTCGCTAACATTTGCTTACATTCGCTAATAGTCGCCAACTGCCTTTCACAAGCATTCGCTCAAAGGTTGCTAATTGTCGCTGAACATTGCTAAAAGTCGCTAAATGTCGCAGAGGCGAACCCTGATTTTCGCCAACATTTGTCAGAAAAGTTGGAGAATCCAAAATCGCAACATTCGTAAGCATTCGATGCTCAGTGAGACAATTTTCCCATTTGTTCAACAACAAAAATGATTACTATGTGAAGGCGCTTGGGAGACAACAGAAATTAGTGATATTTTGGTATATGACAAACGGGAGAGTTTAGAGTCCGTCACTACGTCTCAATCCACTGAAAAATTTGCTATTTGAGAGTCACAAAGCTGTAGACATATTTCAAATATTCATAACTTTCTTTTATTATTGGCCCGATTTATTTCTACCTTTAATTTTTGGATTGTCCTGTAATGTAACCGTACACTTACAAGCTAAACAATAAAAAACTTCGTTTGTTTATGTTTTACTACGGGTTTCTTTGCTGTATGTTTGTTTGCTTGTTTATTTGCTTGTTTGTTTTGTTTGTTTGTTTCTTTGTTTAATAGCTTTCTATTTTATTTTATTTATTTTTATTTATTTATTTACTTTTTTTTGGGGGGGGGGGGCACGATGGTGTAAAGGATAGTAATTCCGTACATTTATTTTTTACACCAGTTGGTTCATCAATCAGTATCCCTCTAATTACCATCACGGACTATTTTCCCCGAGAAACTACCCACTGGGACAAGAAGCCCTAGATAGGTACACGTTAGGACAAAGTCCGGACAAATACACCCAGAAAACTTCCCGGACACCAACCATCTGAATAAATATATGTCCTATGGGAACTCAGTGTTATAGTGCTCTGGTTCCTAATGTTATGAACCAGAACATTGTAACACTGAGTTCCCCTTAGGACATATATTTATTCAGATGGTCATATCTCAGTAAATACTTAATAAATTCAGTTAGTTTTCGACATTCGGACATTATTTTTGATGCTCTTTCGGAAGATGACGAAGAAAAAAAAAGAGTCTAAAAATAGATTTTTGATGACGTCAGAGGGGTTATTGGGTCGATTGTTCTATGTAGGGAGTAGGTGTCTAGGTGAGAGTTGTCCTGGTGGTTAGTTGTCCGTTTTAACTTGTCCGAGGTGGTAGTCTAGGGGGGGGGGGGAATCATCCGGATACGACATGCAATGACTTTCGTCAAATCATAAAACATTATTTTGATGCTCCAATGAGAATTGTTCATCATTAAGTGCCAAACTAATAATAAATATGTTCCTAAACGCAGGACTTCATGATACATCTTCGTAAAGATATCGTTATGACAGCTTAATCATAGCTAGACATCGTCCTGGGGCTAGAGTTGTCCGAAACATCTTGACCGAAGTGGTAGACTGGTGGGTAGTAATCCAGATACTTATATTATTTTTTAATGTGCGTAGTCCCATAGAAATGAAACATTACACGGATTGCTAATTAACCTCGAATCTTCGAAAAACAAAACTCCGGTAATTAAACTTCCGACATAACGAGCAATGAAATAACAAACCGTTGTTATTCCTTTCACCCGTTTTTCTCATAAATGCTATAATCATGAATTCCCTTTAAAAAGCACGCAAACAAGGAACATTACAATTACATGTATGTTGTAATATCAAAAGAGGTCACGTGACATATTATGATTTATTGGTGCTGACGCCCGAGCACTGACACGCCGTGTTGAGGTCAAAGGTTATCATCATTCGGCATATTTTCGGGGCGGGAGCCACGCGTAAAGTCAGGGACGGCACCCCCGGGGTTACCATATACTTGATCATCGGTAAGACAGTAGCTATGTTCACGCGAGAGTAGTAGCGTTAAGATTCAAGTTGGCAAAACGTCGAAGTTTTAAATAATAGTGATGATGATGATGATAATAATGAAAATTAATGCGCCAAGTCTGTCAAAAGTGACACTCCCGGCGCAATTTAACGATTACTAACTATCAACGACGGTGGTTTACACGGGACCGAAACGACAATGTTTGAAGTTTTAATCTACAAGCCTCACGGGCAGGCGAGCAGTCGTAGTAACAACAGGCTGAAATTAATTGCGTCCGCACGGCACAAAAAACTTCCGAGTGGACGCCCCCTGGCCTCCTTCAGCTCGGAGTTATCGTGACAAGAGCGCTCGTGCTTAAAGACTTAGAACAATACTTCAAGTTTGCTAACCACATTAAGTGCGTCCGGATGGTTCGCAACTTAAAGATAACCTTGAAGCTTAAAACCACAACATAGACTTTAAAGTTCACTAACTCTCGTGTGAACCGAACTTGTGAAAGTTATAAAATGACATCTGATGATAATTGGAACATATTTGGGAGTTGATAGTACGTGACCTGAATATTTAACGAAACCGATATAGGAATCTTGTCCGTATTCTTTAAAGTAGCTGTGCGAAGATTTTTAAAAAACTAACTTTATTTTCATTATTGCAAAGGTGAACCTTTATTAGACAATATTGGTTATACGATAAATACTCCGTAGTAATTAGTCTGTTGATACTATGTTTCCATGGGCAGTTAAAAGGGGGTTTCTCACTGAGCTGCGAATGCTTTAACACGAACGTTGCAAATTTGGATTCGCCAACTCTTCTGACGAATTTTAGCGAAAATCAGGGTGTTTAGCGACAATTAGCAACATTTGAGCGAATGTTTGGGAAAGTGTTTGCGAAATGCAGTTGGCGACTATTAGCGACTGGAAGCAAATGTTAGATACTTTCTGCGAATATCATCAACTATTTGCCAATCCTTTGCC